AAATGAGAGGATACAACACTTACCTTACTAATAATAAGTACATTAAAAAGAAAAATCGGGCTGTTCCTCTTATTGTGGCAGCAGGCAAAACCCCCCAAAAGTCCTTGATTTACAACCAAAAATACTTCAGTGTTAATGTGTGAGATCACCGTCACAAAGTCTAAGCTCCTTAAAAGCCAGAGAGGACCATACTGATATATTTGGTGTCTTAAAGCATTGTTAAAAGCATGATAGCACTATCATAATGCGTCTGAATACATGCACTTACTCCTCCTGACTAATGGACCAAAATTCATACACAAGAGGACAGTGTTTAAATCCACTCTGGTGCATTATTTCACAGCATTCCCTGCCTCTTTGTATGTCCATCACAAGGTAAAAACAAGAAAAACTTTCCAAACTGAACACAAACTAGGCCTGGACGATATGGCCAAAATTTATATCACGATATATTTCAAGTCTAATATAATCCAGCGGGCTGTACTAAAAGACACTGCGGGCCGCCAGTTGCCCATCCCTGGTCTAGCTCTACAGACCAACAGATAACCTGCGGCTTTTCTACATCACCACCGTTTCCAGACATGTTGATATTATGCTAGATGTCATATTTTCTACATGAGAGGCTGATAAGCTCAAAAGATAACAAAGATAGAGAAGTTCTTAAAAAAAAAAAAAAAAAAGATATGAACAGCAATGTGGCATCAACAGGTACTGAAGTTGGAGCCACTTTTGCATAAACACAGACATCATCACACAAAAGGCTACATAGCAGATGTACTAAAAAACACACTCAGAAGACCTTAGCAACTGCAAAGCATCACCTTTTCAACCACCAAGAACCCTGCTGCATTGTGGCGGTGACTTCTGCATGGGCAAACACCACTCGCGTTTCATCTCAAAATGTAAATCTAGTTTAAAATATAATGCTGACAGAGGATATTAAAGATAGCCTATCTCGCTTCTGGATATTTTACTTATGGTCTATTTTTTGCACGCTTTGAAGAATCACTTCCTCATAAAAATCAGAGGCGCAAATAGAAAAAGAACACACAGCACTAAACATCTTGACAAGAACATGTAAACAAGCTCCTCTTTGGGGATTTCCATTAGACTGCAAAGAAGAAGAGAAGGAATTGTGGGAAGTGGTTGAATTTGGAGCCAGTAAGTGTCCTAAACTCATGATAAAGTAACTTGATGTTTACTGCACAATATTCCAACAAACACCAAAGCGCAATGGTTGTTGGGACCGTGTGAACTAGCCCATAAATGCACCAATAAAACATGTCAGAGAGATTCAGAACACCTCGTTGACGAGGTTGAGCAAACTGTGTTTTTAAAGATAAAGTTGTCATTGTGACTGATGATCAACAAAATTGAAGACAGTTTCTCTTATTGTGCACAAAAGTGTACTTTCTTCCTGATGCCATTTCAAAACAACAAGTGAAATTTAAGGGATAATTCACCCCAAAATTAGAATGTCATTCCAAACTCTATCTTCAGGGTTTCTGAGGGTCTTAAAAAGTCTGGATTCGCCCTTCCACAAATTAAGGCCTAAGAAGGTCAAAAATCAGAGCAGAACATCTTATTCATAAATTCATAAAGTTATAGCACTACATTTTTCTCAGTACTTTTTGTTTTGTTTTCCAATACAAATATCTGAACTTCCTTAAGTCAAGATACATTTACTTGAGCAACCCTCTACGCACACCTTGGCAATATAATCGCCATTGGCTAGTAAATTTTTCTGTTTACTCGGCAGACTGAAATACTTATATATACAGTATCTCACAGAAGTGAGTACCGATTTTGTCAGGTTTTGCTTACTTTTGGGTACAAATTTCTCCCCAAAATATGATTAAGTAGGTACTCTCACACACACACACACACACGATTCCACCCAATCAGCTTATCTTTGTGAATGAATGCATTTAGGACTTGTGGTGGTGTTTAAGATATTGTTGGTCATAGGTATTAGTAATTATTATTAAAAGATACTACTACTACTACTATTATTATCTGCTGGGTTCATGAATATTAATCACGTTGTCAGCGTTCGCTCGAACTGATTTGCTGAAATCAAAAAAGGGACGGTAATAGATGAGTGCCAGCCAACGAGAGCTGTTCGCGCATTAGCTCCGCCCACTGCCGAGAAACCGGCATATCTTCTGCTTGTTCTTAAAAGCTGGATAATTCTAAATGAACTCTGTTATTTTGACAGGAAAATACAACAAAGAATATGGTTTACATGTAGCGCGTCGATTCAGCGTGGATCGTTTGACGGAGAGCGAAACTCTCAAGCGCTCAGTCAGCGTGTTTATCGAGTGAAAATCTGTGTTGAACGCCTCTCACACACATACTGGCGTGTAAAATCTAAGAATTTATTAGCCAATGGCTAATGTTAGACATTATTTAGTCGCCCAGAGTAAGATTTAGTCGCATATGCGAGTGATTTACTCGCAATGTAGAGGGTTGTGAGATGAAAATTGAAGATATGAACTTAGTCTTGTTTTCTAAAACACTGAAAAAATGGAGCTTATGTTTAGAGCAGGAACAAATATCTGTCAACGGGGAATGAAAACTTGTTTTCCCTTCGAATTAAGATTTCTGAGTTTTCTGGGCCAATTGACATTTTTTTTGTTCTTGCTTTTATCATAAACTCAATTCATTTTGATCAGTTTCTCAAAATATGTCTTGTTTACTATGTCATTTTGCTTCTCAAGTAAATGTATCTTGATTTAAGAATCCAACACAAAGAAGAACATTACTTTTTTTGCAGTTTTTGCAGAAGAACAGTATAAGTTATTTCCACATTCTGGAGGTTGGGAGCAGAATTCAAATAAATTCAAATAAATAAAATAAAAAGTCAGAGATCTATTGGAAATTGTTTTTTTTTCTTCCAAGTTTTAAAGCATTGATATTACAAGACATTTAGATACTAATGTACCGTGTTCCATTCAGTTCTTTCCTTAAATTTCTATACTTGTCTTAAAAACGACAAATAAAACCCTACCTCTTCATAAAACCTGCAGAAACCCTGTTCTTTTGCGAGAAAAAAAAAGTTTTGAAAAAGTGTTTAAAGTTACACTGACAATGTTGGGCCCATTGACGTTCATTGCATGGACAAACACAAGAGAAACATTCTTCAAAATATCTTCTTTTGCATTCCACAGAAAAAATACAGGTTTGGAATGACATAAGGGTGAGTACACAAAGATGCAATGTTAATTTTTGGGTGAAGTAGCTTATTGGGTGAAGGCATAAGAGACTAAATAAAGTCAGGCATTTGCAATATAAAACACACGAGAACATGTGATTGCTTGTTGTATTATTCATCACTACACTTCTGTTTTGCATGCATTATCCATCCATCACTATAATCTGAAGTCAAGTGGGGGAAAAAAATCCCATAGAGGACCAGACCAACGCCATAATCTTTCCGGTTTTCCTCCACATTAATTCAGGACGAGGTTCATTTAGTGGCTCTGCCGTCCCATTGCAAAGACAAAGAACTGATGATAATCTCGGCCACTAATCAAATCAAAGGAATGATGCTGTTGACATGCTTATGACAGGCTTATGCACGCATGATGCATGAAAGATGCCCCCAAATTCAACCTGAGAGATTAGAATGATTGCATTTAAATCTTCGAGCACTTGAGTACAAGCCCTTTCCTCTGCACAGCTGATATGTTGCAATCCAGTTTAAAGAGGGACAGCTTGAACTCTCCTTAGGAAGGAGAGAAGGAAAGATCGCAGCGTTACATAAACTGGACAGCCACATACAGCTGTGAGGTCTGGCCAGATTAACAGATGCTGTGCTCGAGATTAGCATTCAGACGCAAGAGGAAAGAGAAATTAGGTGCTTGCGTAAACAGTCATTCTGAGAAGCTGCTGTTTGGATGGAAGAAACTGCAGAGATATCACAAAACAGATGAAATAATGACAAAAATATCTTGAAATTAACAGGAACTTGCCCTTGAAATCAACAAATGGCTTTTTGTTCATGATTTCCTCACTCATACCTACAAATGCTCTAAAATGCGTTTCAATCTTAAATGCTGAACGCTATAAACTCCTTTATGAAACGACAACATGATATTTCTCACCGTTTGTTGACAAGGTTCAGCAAACCGAGTTTTTGAAGACAAAGCTGCATTATTGTGACCAGTGATCAGCAAAAATTAAGAAGGTTTGTCAATGTGCGCTAAAGTAATCTTCCAGACGCATTTCAAAACACAATAACGTGAAATTAAAAAGACAGCTCACCCAAAAATTTTAACTGTGTCATGATTTACGTGCTCTCATGTCATTCCAAAACCATATTTCTTCTGCTTTCATTCTTCTACAGAAAACGAAAGATATTTTGAAAAATGTTTCAGTGTTTCCAGAAAAAAAATCATACAGGTTTGGAACGACATGAAGGCGAGTACATAAATACGCAATATTAATTTTGGGGTGAAACATATTAGAAGTGAGAAATATCTTGAAATAAACAAGAACTAGTCCTTGAAATCAACAAACTGCTTTTTGTTCATGATTTCTTTACTCACAACTACAAATGCTCTGAAATGCTTAATTTCAAACGCTGATCGCTATAAACTGCTTTATGAAAAATTCCTTGCGTTTTTCTTCCAAGTCACTTTAGACAAAGATATCTGCTAAATGAATACATAACCATGGCCACATATCACCATATAAATATATATATATATATATATATATATAACTACTTCCTTACATAATAATCCATCCGAATTCACAAAACCGCAAATCATTTTTCCTGGCATATGAACAGAAGATCAAACAATCAAACTAATCAATAACTAACAAACCAATTGGTCCAGATGCAATATGGCCTGTAAGTACTGTTACAGTAGTTAATTAGTAATGAGACAATAAGGCACTTACAGACATTCTGTAATGTCAAGATCAAGATAAAAAGCCCCAACTACGTGCTCACGTGGATCTATATTAACACACATTAAATAATCATGACTTACCTTCAGTACTTCCCCACGTTTAAAACTCAGCTCATCATCTGCAGTTGCTTTGAAATCATACTTGGCAATGGCCTCCATGATTCAGCCTGACGGGCACCTATGTGGTAAGGTTCAAAGCAGTGGAAAATGCCTCCTGATGCAGTTTATATCCCTGTTGTGGACCAGAGGACCAGACAATGAGATCTCAGTTGCGATGAAGAGCACAGATCCAAGAAGACACAATGATCTCCACCTGCCTCTCTCTCTCTCTCTCTCTCTGTCTGTCAGCCCCGCGTCTCTCCTCCCGTCGCGATCCTCATATAAAGATCACGGCGAGAAACCTGCGAACAAAATACTTTCAGTCTTTCAGAAAATCCGACAGGGCTCGATAGTGTTGATCTAGTGTTCTAGATAGTTCAATGGGCCGCGCCCCACGATACAACTGGCATTAAAAAGCAAACGCTCCCCATAAAGAGGAAGGAAACCCGTCTGCTTGACGTCTCAAGCGGCCAATTACGCGCCGCGGCTAGAGCGGACCGTCCAATCAGATTAGCGCGTCAAAACGGCGTCAGCCAATCAAAGCCCGGGAAGAGGCGTCAATACCCAATTGGCTTCGCGCCGTCTGTTGCTCGACCAATAAACGGTCAGAATTTCGCAGCGTTCGCGAACTCAAGGCTCGATAACGTCATAGCGCTTTAGAACGTGCACAGAATAATATTAGATTTTTAGCAAATATCAAGAATTGCGCAGATATAAGTCAACGTGTAAACGAGCTGTAATGTGTTAACGATATCAGATTTCTAGCGGAGAAAATTGCGTAAATGACACCGGAAATGCTTTGGATGTTATTTAAAGCATACGACTGTATTATCGTACATTTTAATCATATTGTTATCTTACATAGTAAGGTTACTGCAATTCAACAGGCAGCATTTGACAAAGACGTTTTGTCTAACGCTACTTGAATCTTGAAACAAAGACTTACCATCATATAACAGAACCATATAATCTTTACAACATTCATACAAAATACATATAAATTTAAACGTTAATAAGTAAAATTGTTTACCATTATATATGCATTAACGCAACATAAAACTAACTTTCTAGATATTATATTAAAGTTTTTAAAGTATTTCTATTCATAATGCATCGTTTAAATAATAATAAAAAAATAAACATGACTAATTCTAGTACAGTTCCAAAGGTTCTAGTTTAAAAATCATGTTAAAATAACTAAAAAACAACAACACGAGGCTGAGTTTCTTCTGTCAACATGTCTAGAAGCATAAAATCCATGATTTCGTGACCATAAATAATAGCGAATAGTGGTAATGTATAGAAGAGCACAGAGGCCTTATGGCCTTTGCTCATGTTAACGTGGAAAAAAACATTGACGCTGGCAGTCAGAGAAAAGCTGTAGTTTCATATACTCACTCTTGAAAACAACTGTGAGGGCCAACACTCGCTCTCTCGTTTTCAAGAACTCAGAATCCACTCTAATTGGTCTTTAATCGTTGATGAGGTTGAGCTCTTGTACCGAGCCCGACTTGAAATGGTGAAAAATTGCTGTATTTTCTGTTTGTTTCCGTTTCCTCTTTGATTCAGCGACGTCCGCGAGTTCAGCTTCCGCCTGCCCCTAGTGGACGAGTTGTGTCATTACACAATTTATAACTGATTTCAATGATGCTCAATAGGTTGCAGCATAGCGCCATCTTCTGTCCAAACATCAAGAGTGTCTTAATATTACTGGAAATAAACAACTTCCAGAGTGTTTGACAAACTGTCTTGATTGTTGAAGCTCAGAACATCGCTTGAAACTGAATCATATCCATATGTACACTAATTCATACACAATGTCAGAATCAAATGGTACAGTGTATTATTTCATGTGTCTATAGTCTACTTGTCATTACCCACTGCATTGTTGTGGAGCTTGTATTCTACATTATCCTCCTGAGAACCAGAAAAAAAAGTTTTGTGAATGAATTTGATTTATTTTTTTTTTATTTTTATTTTTTTTGTCATTACATTGGTTGGAGCATAAGAAACAAATGGAGAAAAAGCATTTTTGAAAAAAATATATTTTATAGTCTTTGATTTTATTCATAGTTTATTCTATATCCTTTGTAGAGGACGCCAGGTCTAAGTTATTCAAAAAGATAAATAGACATTAAAAGGCATGTATATAGTCAAAAACAATGTTTTATTTTTTATTCACCAATCAGTTGTTAGGTTTCAGGCTATTTTTAGCCAAACTTTGTACAAAGATGATTCACAACTATGAAAGAAATAACATAATGATTTAATATACTTCTGTACTTTATGGAATATGTGCATAAAATGTCCATAAACTGGTATTCCCATTCTGTACAATGTCTATACCTTGTATCTAATTTGCATATTAATGTGTTCTTGCATATTAATGAAAAAGAAGTGTCATAATGGGAGTAATAACTTGGCAACATTTTCATAAGAGTATCTCATATTTAATAGAAATATTGATCTATAATTTATTTCCCTATTGACTTGTTATGTCTCCCTCAAAATGCCTGATTAACATGATGTTGTCCTGGTGTCCTCTACAGAAGACACGTATGAAAACTATGACCTGTTTCATGATAAAAAGTCATATTCCGATTTGAAACCCCATAACATTTCTCTGAGATGTTTATTTATGACAAACAATTTGAAAATTAGCCACATTTAAATGATAATTACAAAACATGATCATATTTCCCTATGAGTGCTAAATTTGATCATTCTGTCAATATCAGTCATATCTGACAGGAATGAAAACGAGGATATGAGGGATAAACTACAGTGCGCCCATTTAACTGTACTGTTGATTAACAACATACCGTTTGTTGAGCTAACGAAACGTTCATCTGAGAAACACTTTCAAAACTCCATAAAACAGTTTTGAAAATTACATGATCTGGCCTTTACACAGTGCGTGTCATATTAAAGACTGACAGTCTACCCTCACAGCCTCGCGTCTAACCTGATTAAGCTATATAATCTCTATATTGCCAAAGAATTATTTTCAAATGATGCTAAATCAGACCAAAACCACGGCATGTGGTCCACCTGCAAAAATCATCCCTCAGCCTTAGCTAGTCTTTCAAAGAGGCTAAATACCGATTGAGTGTTTAAAAATAACTAAATAATGTACTTAATGAATCATAGCCCCCTTTAAACCATAGAAGGATTTATTATATTAATTATCATATATACACACATTTTTTTTTCCGTTTTATGGTTATGTAATAATAGGCCTACCCAGAATTATACCTTCGGCCATGCGCACATAAAAATAAAAAAATAAAAATAGCATTCACTTACAGTGGATATTCAGATGTTTACAAGACTCAACGTTATGATTAATACGTGGAATATTAATGTGTGTAATTAATGGCATAAAGTTGATGCATGTACATGACACATGACATTCTGACTGAATTTTTTTTGTAACGTGTTGTTGTATTTATCACTTTTATGCAGGGTAAACAGACTATTAAAGAAAATACATTGCAGCTCATTTAGGCATAGCTGATCTGCTTCATATGTACGCTTCACGCGTAGGCTGATCAATCCCTGTAGCTTTATAGCAAAACAACACTTAGTGCTACACTCGTAAACATGTTTCCACTTTTCACTTCAAACCCAGCCTGATTAAACCGCTCACTAATTGCAGGGACAGTCCCAGTGAGGAAAGACGTGCAAATGATGCGGTTGAAATGACATCCCAAATGGGATTAGTTGCTGTAAATGGACTCGAACTTCCAGTTCTGTGCAGTTTCTGGTTTCTTTAAACCGTGGTGTAGCTGAAAGTGCCCAGGTGGATGATGTTCGTCACGTCAGCAGGATCATAACCATCAGGCAGCAAAGCAGACGCTACATCGAGCTCGACTCTTCAGGATCACACATAACTCCTTTTTCCAGCAAGGCTCACAGATGTTCTGTGAATTGGCAAGGAACGAAAGCCTTAACCTCTCCGGAGAGACATTTGAAGCAGTCCATGAAGCGTCCAAGTGTGCATTAGCGCACATATTGGCGATGTTGGAGACCACGGTTCGTTTAGAGCGCGTTTGAGGAGCTGTCAACTAACTAGTGGCACGCGTTTCAGAGGACCAATTCAAGGCAGAGAGAGACCTCTGTAACTGCAGTGTTCCTCAAACCACTGGAGATAATCAGATAAAGGTAGGTTCATGATAAATGAGATGACATTTGATGGGTTACACAAACAAAAAGTGTTTGTGGACATGTACCATGTCATTAGTTCATCATGATATTTAATATGAGAATACCATGTTCCTTTAAGTACCATGTAAATACTATGGGAGTGGTTTTCAATGCTGGTCCTGAGGACCCACCGCTCTGCACAGCTATATCTCTGTATATCTCTCTTATCTGACACTTAGTTCAGCTCAACGAACTGATGATCTGAATCAGGTGTGTTAAATAAGGGAGGCATGCAAAATGTGCAGAGCGGTGGGTCCCCAGGATCAAGATTGAAAACCGTGTACTATGGTATATGAATATTGTTTTGTTTTTTTTCTTGGCAAGGGTATATATTGATATGGCAGTTAAAAGGAAAGGCACTATTACATTTTCATCCACAAAGACCCATTTATACTATCTGAGAAAAATATTAAGATTGATTTTACATAAACGTTTTAATTGTACTAAAGGCTAAATAGATGATTCAAATCTTATCCTGAGAAATTTTATTTTGTTTGTTGACTGCATCTTTTTTTTCTATTCAGTATAATATGTATCAATTGTCCTTATTTTTATTGTTCAAATAATTCTGATTTCATGATTAACCGGATATAAAGTGAGAAAATATTATTTGGTAAATAAAATTAAATTCGGTAAATGTATTCAAAAATCGCTGCATTAAGCATTTAATTAATACTTTACCATTTTAACTCGGACGCCCTATAAAATCTTTGTATTTTTTCCTCTTAAAATTTCTGTGGACACACAGCACCCCCTTGTGGCCCCCTGGGAGTCCCCAGTTTGAAAATCTAGGGAAAATCTAAAAATGAAGATCCCAAAACACTGCTGTCAGTAAAACAAACAGACAGCAGGCAACAGTAAGCATGATCCAAAAACAAACTCCAGTTATAATCCTGAAAAGCCTAAAAGCTTTGGACAAATCCATAAGATAACTAGTCTTTTTTCAATGTCCAGATTTGACTTTACAAAGATCTCAGTAAGTGTTGAATATACCTTTAAATATGTAACATTGTTTTGAATTAACTTATGTAGTCAGATATTGTAACAACTATTTTTAAATTACTTCACAGTAAGCATTTTTCCTCAATATGTCACTTATAATGGTTTGAAACATAATCATATCTCGAATGACAGATAGAAGCCTGTTATTAATAACGTGTGTTTTGTGTTTTATGGTAAAGTTTGTGATGGATTTCACCATGACCCCTGCTGAGAATTCCAGTGATGAGTTTAACTCATCTCAACATTTAAATGCAGGTAAATATATAATATTTTTTTCTGGCAACCTGAATGTGTGTCATGCAAACTCACGATAATGTTCAGTCATGTTAAATAAACCCCGGCAGGATGATCAGGAGACTGAGACGACCTGAATCATTTTGACAGGGTTTATTGTGTGATAATATCCTTCTTATTACTTACCACATAATGCCTAGTAATATTGTTAAAATTAGTTTATGTGAAAATAATGAGACCACAGCACACAAGACATATGGTTTTATTTTTTATCCACGGTATGTATATAAAAAAAAAAAGATTACCAGGGACAACTGTCAAATACATCATTTAGTGGTTAAATATTTACACTACTGTTCAAAAGTTTGGATTGTAAGATTTTTTAAATGTTTTTGAAAGAAGTCTTTTACACTCACCAAGGTTGCATTTATTTGATAAAGAATACAGTAAAAACAGTATTATTGTGAAATATTATTATATTTTCAAATAACTGTTTTCTATTTGAATATAATTTAAAGTGTAATTTATTGCTTTGATGGTAAAGCTGGATTTTCAGCATCATTACTCCAGTCTTCAGTGTCACATGATCCTTCAGAAATCATTCTAATATGCTGATTCTTATAATTTCTTATTACCAATGTTAAAAACAGTTTGCTGCTGAATATTTGTGTGGAAAATGTGATATATATTTGTTTGATGAACAGAAAGTTCAAAAGATCACTATTTATTTGAAATGGAAATCTTTCGTAATATTATAAATGTTATAAAACTATTTATTTCTTTAGAAAAAAAAAATCTCACTGACCCTAAATGTTTGACCAGTAGTGTATATGTACAGTGGGTACGGAAAGTATTCAGACCCCCTTAAATTTTTCACTCTTTGTTATATTGCAGCCATTTGCTAAAATCATTTAAGTTAATTTTTTTTCCTCATTAATGTACACACAGCACCCCATATTGACAGAAAAACACAGAATTGTTGACATTTTTGCAGATTTATTAAAAAAGAAAAACTGAAATATCACATGGTCCTAAATATTCAGACCCTTTGCTCAGTATTTAGTAGAAGCACCCTTTTGATCTAATACAGCCATGAGTCTTTTTGGGAAAGATGC